GGGAAGGAAAGAAGGGAGGAGAGAGGGAAAGAAAGAAATCAGTCCAAGTTGGAAAGGATGAAGTAAAACTGCCTCTATTTGCAGATGACACGATATTATAAATGGAAAACCAAGAAACTTTTAGAGCTAATAAATGAATTCATTAAAGTTGCAAGGTACCAAATCAATAAACAAAAATCTTACGTGTTTCTATGCATGAATAACAAACTATCAGAAAAAGAAGTTGAGAAAATAGTCTGTTTACATTTGCATCAAAAAGAATAAACTACTCAGGAATAAATTTCAGGTGAAAGACCTGTATGCTAAAAACTGTTAAGACATTAATGAAAGAAATTTGAAGAAGACACAAATAAATGGAAAGTTATTTCACGCTCATGGATTGGAAGAATATTGTGAAAATGTCCATACTACCTAAGCAATCTACAAATTCAATGCAATCTCTGTAAAAATTCCAATAGCATTTCTCACAGAAATAGAATGCATAATTCTAAAATTTGTATAGAACCACAAAAGACCCCAAATAGCCAAAGCAATCTTGAGAAAGAACAACAAAGCTGGAGGCACCATGCTCTCTGATTTCAAACTATATTACAAAGCTATAGTAATCAAAAGAATATGGTATTGGCATAAAACAGACACATAGATCAAAGGAACAGAACTGGCCCTGAAATAAACCCCCACACGTATAGTCAATTAATTTACAATAAGCCAAGAGTATACAATGAGGGGAAGGAGAGTCTCTTCAATAAATGGTGCTGAGAAAACAGAAAATGGTGGAAGAATGAAACAATCCCTATCTTACACCATTCACAAAAATTAACTCAAAATGGATTTAAAGACTTAAATGTATGAGCCAAAATCATAGAACTAGAAGAAAACATAGGTGGTAAGCTCCTTGACATCAGTCTTGATGATGATTTTTTTTTGAAACTGACATCAAAAGCAAAGGAAACAAAAGCAAAAGTAAACCAATGGGACTACATCAAACTAGAAAGCTTTTGCACAGCAAAGGAAACCATCAACAAAATGAAAAGACAACCTACTGAATGGGAGAAAATAGTTGCAAATCATGTGATTTGATGAGGGGTTCATATCCAAAATATATAAAGAACTCATAAAACTCAATAGCAAAAAAATACAATAATCCAGTTAGTAAATGGGCAGAATAGACATTTTTCCAAAGAAGACAGCCATTAAAACCACAGTGAAATACCACCTCACATCTGTTGGAATGGCTGTTATTAAAAAGACAAGAAATAACAAATGTTGGCAGTGATACGGATGTGAAGGAAAGGGAACCCTCATACACTGTTTATGGGAATGGAAATTGGTGCAGTCACTATAGAAAACACTGTGGACATTCCTCAGAAAATTAAAAATAGAACTACCTTAAGATCCATTGATTCCACTTCTGGGTATTTATTCGAAGGAAACAAAAACTAATTTGAAAAGATATATGCACCCCCATGTTCATTGCAGTGTTAACTTTGAACACTTACAAGATATGGAAGCAACCTAAGTGTCCATTGATAGATGAATGGATAAAGAAAATGTGATATGAATACATACAGTGGAATATTATTCAGCCGTAAAAATGAAGTCTTGTCATTTGCTACAATATGCATGGACCTTGACATTATGCTAGGTGAAAAAATGAGACACAGACAAATACAGTATGATCTCATTTATATGTGGAATATAAAATTTAAAAAACCCAAGCTCATAGATACAGAGAACAAATTGGTGGTTGCCAGAAGTTGGAGGAGAGGTGAGGATCAGTGAAATGGGTAAAGGGGATCAAAAGGTACAAAATTCCAGTTATAAACAAGTAAGTCATTGGCACATAATGTATAGCATGGTGATTATTGTAATACTGTATTGCATATTTGAAAGTTGCTAAGAGAGTAGATCTTAAAAGTTTTCATCACATAAAAAATGTTTTTTGTATGTGTGCAACTGTATGGTGACAGATGTTAACTAGACTTATTTTGATGGTCATTTTGCAATGTATACAAATATCAAATCATTATGTTGTATGCTTGAAATGTCAATTATACCTCAATAAAAAAACGTGTTTTGAATCTTTTCTTTTTTACTTTCCCCTCTCAGTTTTAGGAAACAGAAAAGCGTTTGTACTTAAATTCAAAACTGAACTTTTTTTTTCAGATAACCATGATGATTACAGAGACTGCTATTATGCCTTTTGCTCCTTTTGAGGATACATTGAGTCGAATGCTGTTTGGCTGGCAGCAGCAGTTTTCATCATGTGAGAAGAAAACTGAAACAAAATCATCCTTCAATGGTACTGGTTCATCGACCTCAAAACCTATAGCTGTTGCTTCAGATAAAGTTAAAAAGAAACATACTAAGAAGACTGAGTAAATTTTCTTGATGAGCTTTAGAAGGCAAAAAAATTCTTATCTACCTGTCAGATTGTGATAAACATTTTTATGTCAATGATGTAAAATAAAGATTATATGTAAGGAATGGAGGTGACAAAAAGAAAGAACTTCTTTCTGCTTTAAGGGGACTGTCCCTTTCTGCATTGTAATTTCTTGAGTGTTATGAGTATATCATGCGAAATTGTTTTTCTAAGTTATATATAAAAGATTCTATTGTGATTTTTAAATAGTTTTATATTGATAAAAGAAGGCTAGATTTTTTTAATGTTAGGAAAAGTAAACCTACTGCCATTGCAAAGTAACAAAAATTAAAATGTTATTGTTCAATCTAGGTATTTTCATATATATTTTTTATTTGATTCTATTCAAGCTTTAGTTCAGCAAAATTAAACTTTTATTTCACATTGCCATTGTAATTCCTAGATGTGGAAAACAATTCCTGTTTGATTTTGAGTACTGGAAAGAACAGACTTTACCTAAATCACTTTATATTATGAATGAAAATAAATTATTAGCCTATTTCAGATGTAAACATTGTATACTTTGTCCACACTAAATGGAAATACCTGAAATTAAAAAAAAATTTTGCAGTATGTTTCAGTGAGAACAGAGTATTAGTTTGAGTCTTGAGTGTGTTTCATGACCTTGTTTATACAGTTTCTCTTTTCTCGAAAGAAAATCGGGTGTAATTTTAAATAAGCTAGTAAGCCCATGTTTTGCTTTGTACATTTTGAGGAACTTGTTTTTTTTCTCTCTCCTTGAAACACAATTGTTTTTAACTATAGGAGAAACTATTTTTCTCAGCATTTCATGTATTCTTAAGTATTATTTCAATTTAAAAATTTCACCTTTATGTCTCCTCTCTAATGGATGCTTTTCAGTTTTCGGTTGAATGTCTCTTACTAGTTTGCATATGTTTGTTATATTTTAACCTACATGTACATATATTATTAATTTTATTTTAAATTAAGACTAGTTACCCTTATGTGGAAATGCTCAGCTCTAATGAGAATTGTCCTTGGACATTTGATAGTAACCAGCTAATTAAGAAGAAACAAACTAAAATCTCATGGTAGTAGACTATTTGAAGAATGATACTAAATCTGGTTCCTTATTTGTAAAAATGATAACAATAATAATAGTAAGAAGAAAAGGTACTAAATAATGTTAGATTTTATGGCTTTATTTCATAGTGTGAGTCCAGTTTTAATTTTAAAACTCTGACTGACATGATTTCTTCTACCAAGACCATGAGCCTCTGAAGACTTAGTATGTATCAGGCATTTTTGTATGGCATGGAAGTACTCAAATCATATTCAAGGTAGAAGTCTTGGTTTTTAAAAATTTTAACAAGTATAAACACCAGCAGGGACTATACTTCTGCTTGTTTTTAAAAAAAGATTTTTTGAGGGGAGGACCTTTGGTAGCCTTGGGATACTAAGAAGTTTATTTTTAATATTATTACAGAAGGCATTAAACATTTAAGAGTTCAGTATTATCTTTGATACTCTTGTAGTTAAAAACTTTTCAGAGTTAACATGTTGCTAACTATTGACATAGTTTTCAAATTTAGGTTTAACTGTAGTTGAAATGGTAGAAATCTTGTTTTATACTTGTATTAAAGGACATATTTATTAAAATAAGTTATTTAGCACCAATGGAGTATTACATTCTTTTTATGTTTTTTTTCTATTTTTCTTGAGTCAGGAGTTGTACATTTTGACTGATATGGTATATATTCAGTGATTACTATCTGAATGAGATAGACAAACTTTATCAATCTATTACAACCTGTAATTCAAGGTTCTTAGGAAAAAGCTGTACTGGAGAACGTGGTTTAGGCCTGAAACCTCCCACCCTCAATCTGTTCATGCTGCCTGCAGAGACTTGACTGGATTTGCAAAGCAGATTGTTAGACTCCTTAACCCAACATGTAGCACGAATAAAGCCTGTGGCCCTGCTTCACACAGCCAGTCATAGGTGGCACTGAGAAAGTCAAGACCTGGTAGGTCTTAAATAAAAGGAGACAAGATGCTGGCTAGAGCATAGGCTGGTTTAATTTGGTGATCTCACCCTTTAGATCTCATAAGAGTGGTCTCACTCTTATGTAAAAAATGGCCAAAATAATCTCAAACTTTGTCAGACTAGTCATTCTAACTTGCTGAAGGTGTAAGGACTGTAGAGGGACCATATATGTGGAGTGAGTGGATTTCAGTGGAAATTCCAATTTTCCTATAGTCAGAGACCAAGAAATGGAGAGAAGAGGAGAGACATTCCCTCTTTGGTGTATTTTTTTGTCTGTTTCTTTAGGGCCTGACATCATTCCATTAAAATCTACCTCAGATCACAAGTTGGTTGCAATTGAGTAATATGTTAGAAATGGAATAACGTATTCAGGAATGCCCTCTCTCCCCCCACTGCTCTCCTGGTGTTTACATTTTACTAGTGGTGAGACATACAGTAAGCAAACAGATGTGTTCTTGTGGTGATACTAAAGGTCATGAATATAAAGCATGACACAAGGATAGAAAGTGAGAGAGTTGGGGGTGCTTGTTTAGAGGATTGTTAGAGAAGGCCTTTCTGTTAAAACTATGTTTCACCAGAGACCTGAAGGAAGTACTGGAGGAAGCCAGGCAGACGTCTGTGTTAAGTGCAAGGGTCATTCTGTTTCTTCATCTACTTGAGTTAGATTATGTATTTTTTTCCCCAGAACTATTTAATTTATTTTTCTTATTTAGTACAGTTTCACACTTACAGTTTTTAAACATATTTCTTTGATAGAATTTTTGTTTTTACGTTTTTTTTCTCTTAAGGTAAAATTCACATGCAATGAAATGCATAAGCTGTAAGTGTACATTGAAAGAGTTGGCAAATGCATACAACTATATAACCTGAACTATCAAGATACAGAACACTAGCAGTGCCTCAGGAAGTTCCTTTCTAGTTAATCTGCCCCCTAACTGAATAGAAATAGAATCATGCAATATATTCTCTTTGGCGAAGACTTCTTTCAGACTCATCATAATGCTTTTGAAATTCATTCACCTTGTGCTTATCAGTAGTTCATTCCTTTTTAATTGCTTAGTAGCATTCTACTATATGAATATGTCACAGTTTGTTTATCCTGTTGCTGCACATCAGAGCTGTTTCTAGTTTGAATATTCTGAATAAGCTACTATGAACATTTTTGAACAAGTCTTTTGAGGAACATGTTTTTACTCCTTCCGAGCAAATATCTAGGAATGAATTATGTTTAGTTTTATAAAAAAAATCACTAGACCTTTATTCCAGAGTGATTGTACTGCTTCATTATTCACAACAATTTATGAGAGTTCCAGTTGCTGTACATTCTTACCAAGGATTAGTGTTGTCAAACATTTTAATTTTGTCCATTTCCAGTGGGTAGCTTGTGGATTTTTGGTTTTACTTTTCATTTCCCTAATGGTCAATGATGTGGAGCACTTTTTTTGTGTCCTTATTGGCCATTCATACATCTCCCTCTCTGAAGTGTGTCTTTAGGCCATTTGCCCGTATTTTATTAGATTTGTCTTTTTATTATTAAGTTGTAGGAGTTCTTCATTTATCTTGGATGTCCATCCTTTGTTAAATAGGTGTTTTGCACATACTTTCTTTCTGGTGTGTGGATTACCTCTTCTCAAAAATCATCACTCATCTTACATGTGTGGTCACTTTTTCTGTGCTCGTGCTAAAGGTTATACGTTACAGGAATTTAAGACTTTTGTATGTGTGTCTATTTAGGGAGTTTCTGTATGTAGGCTTGTCCTTGGTTTATCACAACTGATATTTAGAAGGTGAATAAAAATGTGACAATAGAAAATACATTTTTTAAAATTGAGGTATAGTCAGTTTCTGGTGTACAGCACAATGCTTCAGCCATACATGGATATACATATATTCATTTTCATGTTTTTTTCACCACAAGCTACTACAAGATACTGAATATATTTCCCTGTGTTATACACTATAAACTTGTTTATTTTATATATACTAGTCAGTATCTGCAAATCTTGGACTCCCAGTTTATCCCTTTTCACCCGCCTCCCCGCTGGCAACCACAAGTCTGTATTCTACGTCTGTGAGTCTGTTTCTGTCTCATATAAATTCATTTGTCTTTTTTTTTTTTAGATTCCACATATGAGTGATATCATATGGTATTTTTCTTTCTCTTTCTGGCTTACTTCACTTTTGTTTATTCCTTTTTCGGTTTTATTAGGTAGAATTATTACAGTTCGACTGCACATACACATATTGCATGTAAATACATATAACAATATACTGCACATTTTTTAGTTTGCATATATGTACAAATAATTGTTTCTAAGAACAGATTAGATCTTTAACTTTTTAAACTTACAAAGTTATCAAAGGAATAACTGGCTTATTTCACTTAGAATCACATTCTTCAGGGCCATCCATGTTGCTGCAAATGGTATTATTTTACCATTTTATATGGCTGAGTAGTATCCCATTGTATAAATATACCACAGCTTCTTTATCCAGTCATCTGTCAATGGACTTGAAGGTCGTTCCCCTATCTTGGCTGTTGTAAATGTCCCACGTGCATTTGAGAAGAAGGTGCATGTTGTGTTTGTTGGGAAGGATATTCTTTATTTATCTGTTGGATCTGGTTGGTTTATTGTGCTGTTTGTCTTTTATTTTCTCACTTTCTTTTTGATGTTCTTTCTATTATTAAGGATTGGGTACTGAAGTCTCCAACTATTATTGTAGAACTGTTTCTCCCTTAAATTTTGACAGTTTTTGCTTCATATATTTTGATGGTTATTATGTGTGCAAGTATTTATTTTTGTTTTATCTCCATGCTTTATTGAATCTTTTATTAATGTATAATTATAATGGATAATATCCTTCCTTTTCTCTTACAACCTTTTGGTTTAAAGTTATTTTGTCCTGTTTTCTTTTGATTATTATTTGCATGACGTATCTCTTCTCATTCTGTTTGGGTCTTTGAGTCTAAAGTGAGTCCTTTGTGAAGAGCATATGGTTGGATCATTTCAGAAATCTATTCTACCAATCTCTGTCTTTTGATTGGGGAATTTAATCCATTTACATTTAAAGTACAGACATACCTCAGAGATATTGTGGGTTCAGTTCCAGAGTACTATAATAAAGTGAATATTGCAAGTAAGTGAGTTACATGAAGTTTTTGGTTTCCCAGTGCATATGAAAGTTATGTTAAATTATACTGTAGTCTGTTAATGTATGATAGCATGATGTCTAAAAAAACAATGTATATACTTTAATTAAAAATACTTTATTGTTAAAAAATGCTAACCATCATCTGAACCATCAGCAAATTGTAATCTTTTTGCAATAGTAACAGCATAGATGTTTCTGATCTGTGATCACAGATCACCATAACAAATATAATTATGAAAAAGTTTGAAATATTGTGGGCATTAACAAAAGGTGACACAGAGACAGGAAGTGAGCAAAATGCTCTTGGAAAAATGCAGTGACAGACTTGCCCCACACAGTTACCATGAAACTTCAATTTGTTAAAAAAAGAAAAAGCATTATCTATAAGGAACAATAAAATGAGGTATGCCTGTTATTAGTGATATGAAGGGACTTCCTCTTGTCATTTTCTTTTGTTTCCTCTATGCCACATAGCTTTCTTGTCCCTCATTTCCTGCATTACTGTCTTCTTTCACATTTTGGTTTTTTTTTTGTAGTGAAACATTTAAATTGCGTTCACATTTCCTTTTGTGTATTCTACAACTGTTTTGTTTCTGGATACCATGGGAACTACATTTAACACCCTGAAGTTTTAACAATCTATTTTGAATTTATACCATCTAAACTTCAATAACATATAAAAACTTTGCTTTTTTAATAGCTGTTTTCCCATCCCTTTTGGTTGTTGATGTCACAGAATTACATTTTTATAGATTGTATGCCCCCAGATATAAGCTAATAATTATTTTAAATGCATTAGCTTCTTAAATTATGTAGAAAACAAAATGTGGAGTTACAAACCATAGATACAGTAATTCTTTTAGACTAATAATTGCTTTAAAAATGTATTAGTCTCTTAAATCCTGTAAAACAATGTAGGGTTAATCAACCATTGTTACAATAATAGCTTTTATAACTGTACATGTATTTACCTTTCTTAAATTTTTTTTAATGTGGCTTCAAGTTACTGTCTAATGTCCTTACATTTCACAAGGAAACTCCCTTGAGCATTTCTTTTAGGGAAGTTTAGTGGTAATGAACTCTCTCAACTTCTGTTTATTTGAGAATGTCTTAATTTCTCCCTCACTTTTGAAGGACAGTTTTGCTAGGTGTAAGATTCTTGGTTGATAGCTTTTCCTTTTAGTACTTGGAATATGTTGACCTACTTCCTTCTGGCCTCCAGAGTTTCTGGTGAGAAATCTGCTGATAGTATTATTGAGTATGTGCTGAATCACTTCTCAGTTGCTGCTTGAAAGAGTCTCCATGTCTTTGTCTTTTGAGTTTGATTATAAGCCTTGGTGTCAGTCTTTTTGAGTTAATCTTTCTTGACGTTCATTGAACTTCTTGGATGTTTATATCTTTCATCAAATTTGGAAAGTTTTCCACTGTTTTTCTTCAGATAGTCTCTCTTCCCCTTTCCTGCTCTCTCTTCCTTCTGAGACTCCCACAGTGTGGATGGTGTTCTGCTAGATGGTAATCCACAAATCCCTTAGGCTCTGTTCACTTTTCTTTAAATTTTTTTCTGTTCCTCTGACTTAATAATTTGATTGTCTTATCTGTAATTTGGCTGACTGTTTCTTCTACCTGCTTAAATATGTTTTTGAATCCCTCTAGTGAATTTTTAATTTCAATTATTGTACTTTTCTGCTCCAGAATCTTTTTGTTTTTTAGGGTTTTCATCTCTTTATTGATGTTTCCATTTTTTTCACACATTGTTGTCTTGACTTTCTCCATATCTTCTCTTAGTTCTTTGAGCATTTTAAGACTGTTGTTTTAAAGTCTTTATTTAGTAGCTCTGCCACTGTGTATTTTTTAGGGACAGTTTTTTCCCCCTTGAATGGATCATACTTTTCTGTTTCTTCTGTGATTTTTGTTGAGGACTAGACATTTGAATCTAATAATAATTTATCTGCAAATCAGATTGTCCTCTGTCTCTAGGGTTTGCTGGTTTGTAAAAAAATCTTTATATTATTTTGTTTGATCTTTTGTTTGTTGCAAGTTGTTTCTGTGTCAAAGATTAGCCTGAGGTATAAACTTAAGTCTTCTCACATCCATTCTCAGCCTGTGTCCTTCCCTGGGCATGCCCAATCACTTTGTCATTTCCTCCACAGGTGCAATTGTTTTTCAATGTCCTAGTCTTTAATGCCTGGCTCCCAAAAGGGGAAAAAGAAAGATGAAGAGGGGAAAGAAATTAAAGGAGACCCAAATACATAGAAAGATACCCCATGCTCATGCATTAGAAGACTTAATATTGTTAAGAGTATGTCAGTCTACAGATTCAATATAATCCCTATAAAAATTGCAATAATCTTTTTTTGCAAAAATGGAAAGGGTGATCCTAAACTCATATGGAGGGTGTGTATGAGCTCAACAGTATGGACTTCTCACCAAGGCCAACTTGGCTACAACTGCTGCTGAGTGCCCAGCCTGCCAGCAGGAGAGAGCAACCCTGAGCCCCCAAAGTGGCACGGGTTTGATGACATCAAACAGTTTCCATCATGCAAGGGGCATCGCTTTGTTCTTATTGGAACACACATTTTGGACATGGATTTGATTTCCCTGAATGCAATGCTTCTGCCCAAACTAATCATCTTTGGGCTTACAGAACGCCTTATATACCATCATGGTATTCCACCAAGCATTTCTTCTGATCAAGGAACTCCCTTCACAGCAAATAAAGTGCAATAGTTGGCCCATGCTCATAATACTTCACTGGTCTTACTTGTGTCTCATCTCTTCCTTCTACTGGTTCCAGGCATCAAGTTCTAAGCCTCTTAAGCATTGCGAGAAGAGTACATGTCAGATAGGGACCCAGAACAGTCCTAACAACGTTTATAAGCTGGGTTAAACAAAGTTCCATCTGGTTCCAGAAGTTCCTAATTACCCAAAGAAGGCAATTTCCACATCTCCTATCACAAAAACTAATTTAAAAAAATCTACTCTAGAAAAACAAGGGAAGTCAGTAATATATTGATTGGAATTCTTTTGGATCCTGTCCCTCTCCACAGAGTGCCACTGAAATTACAGGCTAACATTCCCTCACTGAGGGATGCTAGTCAAGCCACCCCTGGATGAGCAGACTGAGAGAAACAGGCTCAGGGCTGGGCACATGCACACTCCTTCATCTCATTGCCATAAAACTGGCTTTTTCCATCCATGAACCCATACAGTGCTGTATGTATGGGATTGGTGGATAAGATGCTGGGATCTCAGCCATGCCTACCTGGTAGGAGAAAGCAGCAAGCTGAGACTGAGTACAGGATCAGGGAAGTTAACTCATCAATGAGGAGGGTCCTTGTGGATGATTCTCTAAAGGGTATTAGTGGATTGGGACTTGAGATCTGCTTGTATTAGTTGGGTAGGCCAACTGCAGTAACCAAAGTCTCCAAAATGTTTAGTGACTCAAATACATCCAAGTTTATTTTCATTCTAGTGAACAGTTAAGACATTTCAGGTTGGTGAACTATGCTCTGTACAGGCATTCAGGGAGCCAGGCTGATAGGCTTTGCCATTTTAAAAAAATTGAAGTATAGTTGATTTATGATACTGTGTTAGATTCAGGTGTACAGCAAAGTGATTTTTATTTTTTTTCAGATTATATCCCATTAGAAGTTATTAAAATTGGAACATTTAACGAATTTGTGTGTCATCCTTGCACAAGGGGCATGCTAATCTTCTCTGTATTGTTCCAATTTTTAGTATATGTGCTGCTGAAGTGAGCATGACTTTGCCATTTTTAATAAATGGCTTTCAAGCTTGCCTTGGAAAGGGAAAGAGGCATAAATGAGGGTTTTGTGGGCCAAACCTGGGATACCACTTCTCACTTCCCTTTGGTAAAACTGAATCATATGTCCACATCGAACTGCAAGGGAGACTGGGCTGTGAGCCTAAGAAGAGGAAATGAATTTGGTGAGGACTAGCAATGTTGGACACAGCACCTGTTTCCAAGGGACAGTGATGTGGTGTCTGGAATGGGGCACCAGGAGCTAAAGCCAAGATTTTGCTGGAATTCAGACAGGAGGCAGCATTCTGCCTGCACCTTTCCACCCAGTTTGGAGTAAGACAGCCAGCTGCAGGTGTGGAGATGCTTTTGGCGGTGGGAGTGTTATGGATGCTTGTGTCCAGGCCCTGGGAAAAGGGAATCAAAGAGGGTGAGATTCCAGGATCTGAGCCACAAGAGCTGAGATTCAAGCCCAGGCTCCAGTGGTGATACTGAAGTCCAGTGCTAAGGATGGAGATGTGGGAGAAGGCTTACATGCGAGGGCTTGCCTTGGGGATGTTTTGCCTATGACAGCAAGACTGAGTTGCAAGTCGCCCCTGCTGGTGGGTCTTAGACTATTAGGGTCAGGCTTGGTTCTGGGATAGTTGGGGGACGGTCCTCCTCCTGAAATTTTCTTTAGCACTGTCTTTTCCAGAACGGCATTTACATATGCCTTTCAAAGAGATTAATATCCTCAGAAGAGAGCTGTCTTTGTACTTTGCAGTTTCCTCAAGCAGCCAAACTCCTACACACACCCCAGCTTTTAGGAGTTTACATTAAATAACCACGGGACACAGGTCACTAATTTCTGATGTCCCATGGTCTCAGCACACATAACATCTCACAGTTTAGGCATATAACCTAGGGGCTAAATAACTACTAGATTCTAAATAACCAGTAGATTCTGTATGGAGAGTTGGAACATGAATTGCTTGCTTTGTGTGCTTTCCTCTTTGAAGGTGGCCAAAAAACCTTAATTGTTTAGGGCTTTCTGAACATTGTCTTTTAAGGATGATACTGCATGTACTGTCTAGAGATGTTGTTGGAACTGATGTTGTGAGAAGCTCTTATGCTCTGATATGCTGAGAATGCCCATGTATCCCCCAGGCCCCATCGCAGAAAATCCTTAAACACATTCACAGCACTACAGGGCGTTGCCTTCCACTTGACCCTTCCGTTCTCTTGATTGTTCAATGCACGAGGGTTATTAAGAAGCTGAAAGATGATTATTACACTCCATTGTGGTTGCCAGCTATGTGCTGGCAGATTATTGAAAACAGATTCAGGAAACCACTGTAGGTTAATGACATGATGTGGAAAATGCTGGTCTTGGAGTAAACTAGCCTATTTCACAGAACAAAATGTGGGATGGTAAAAGATGCCGTATACCACAGTATTGGAGCGTAGAATCTAGTAAATCTGCTGTTTAATGGCGACTTGACCTTGGGCTAATTTTGACTACTTCAGTGCCTCAGTTTCCTCACCTGAGAAATGGGAATTATGATGGGACTCACTTCCATAGGGTTATTGATAGAACTAACTAAATGAGACCATGTATGGAAAGTGCTTAGCATGATGCCTGGCATATAGCTGGCCTTCAAAAAATATGTTACTTACTATCATAGGCTAAGATTAAAAAAAAAACCTGTCATTGGAGTAAGAAAAAAAAGGGAAGATTAATCGGTCACAGTGCCAAACACTAGTTCTTAATGGTTAGAACTGGATCCTTGAAATTCTGCTGATAGGAGGGAACATTTTTGATCATCCCCACCTGTATCAGTGCTTTTAGTCACTATCCAGAGAGACTCTCAGATCAAGTGGGGAAAACAGACCAAACAAAAGTCTAGAGCCGAGGTTTTCACGGTGTGAACTCCAGGTCTGTCGCGTCAACATAACAGCAAACTTGCTAGAAATACAAATTCTTGGGCTGAGGACCGCAGACCTACTAAATCTGAAACTCTGGGGTGGGACGCAGAAATCTGTGTTTTAACAAGCCCTACTGGGGATTCTTAAGCTCTGTTTGCGGACCTGGACCTAGAGCCTCTAGAGATAAATTTGTTGATAAAATGCAGGCGACAGTCCTTGCAGAGAACTTACGGCAGTTAATGAGCCCAGACCTACGTTTGCAGCTGCCTTCTGTAATCCCCGCCTGAGCTCTTCGTGCCCAGTCCCCTGCCTCCTCCTGTGGCATCTTGGTGAACAGTCCCACCATCCATCCAGTTCCCCACTCTTCTAGTTTCTTTTACTCTCTCACTTTTCACCGAACCAGGCACTAGGAACCTGGGTTTGCCCTTCTGAATGCTTACATCTGTGCGCTCCTCTCTCCCACTGCCTCTGCTTTCGTCCGAGCTCCACCACGTCTCACGGGGTTCAGGACGACAGTGCCACAGTCTTTGTTGTTTCTCTCCTCTGTTCTCTAGTTTCCCCACTCTTCTCTCCACACTGCCACGGAGTGACTTCACTAAAACACGGGCAGGTCAGTTGTTCCACTGATTCAAAATCTTCAAACGCTGCAGACAAATTCCTTACCGTGGTATTCCAGGCTCCTGACTACCTAACCAAAGATACGTTTCCAGCTTCCCCTCTCCCTACCCCATTCTCTCACACCATTTACTCTGCCTTCTATTCTGTCGATTCCAAGCGCGTTTATACCCCCTTGCTCTGCATAGACATTTGTCCCCTGTCTTGTGTGTTCTCATTATCTGCTCATTGAGGTTCTGTTTACCAGCTCAGTTTCAACATCGCCAACCCTGGAAACTGTCCTTGACTCTTCTAAGGAGCTTTGGCATTTTTCTTTTCGGTTCTCCAGCTATGCTCCATTTTAAAAGGCATTTACCACTCATACTGATGGTTTTCCTACTGGACTGTGAACTTTTTAAGGCCAAAGGATCTGTTGTCTTATTTATCTCTGCACTCCAGCATTCAGCACTGCGCTCAGCACTTACTAAGTAGTTGCTTAATAAATGTTTGCCGAAGGAATGAGGGAATGAGAGTAAGTGGGTCTTTATAGGAGGATTTTCCTTTTAGGAACAAAACCTCAGCTTCCCAGGCACAGACTACCGCCTTCGAGGGAGTATTTATGATCTGGATCACGGCAGCCGTGGAAGAGGCATGCGCCTCTCAGGGGAAGCCATGGGAGAGTTTGGGCAGGTGAAATGTAATTATCCACGCTGGCCCTGGGCCAAGGATTCTCAGCACTGCAGCGAGGCCAGGGCTAAACACAAATGGGTACGACCTTCATCTCACATCCCTTCTGAAGGGCTGCTCCTCCGGCAGCCCGGAGACCCCTAACAGCTTGCCGGGGCCTGGGGTCAGCCTCACTCACAGGGAAGGGGCAGCAGAGCCCCATGACCCCGCTGAGCTGGCTGCTTGGCTCTCGGCTGCCTTTGGTCAAAACACAGCCTGGTGTGGAAACAGAAGCTGGCCTGTGACCCCTCCTTCATTCTTTTGGGCCACACTGCTGCAAACCCCAGCACATAACAATAACTTGACCTCAAGTTACTGGTGGCCTGTTTCCTCACCGTGTGTGTGTGTGTGTGTGTGTGTGTGTGTGTGTGTGTGTGTGTGTGTGTGTGTGTTTGTTTATTTCTACAAACAATAAATCTCCTACCCAAATCACCAGGCAACACACGCAGAAGTGCACAAAATTGAAACTCCCTTTTGCAGATAACCATAAATCCTTTTTGGAAGAAGGTGGAGGTTAAACAAAAAGTGGCTGAGCTAGGATTTAAACTCAGGAAGTCTGACTCCCTGGTCTGACCTCTGAGACCTCCTGACTTTGTAGCACGTTGGTCCCTCAGATCTACCTGGTACACCTGAAACTAATATAATATTATAAATCAACAATACCTCACTTAAGAGAAAGATCTACCTGGGAGGGATCTACCAGGCCAACAAGCATCGCCAGGACTCCTGGGCCCCTTTTTTTTTTTTTTTTTTGGTAATATAACTAAAACCATAAAGCCTTGTTGCTTCCACAAGTAAATGACCTTGGGAAGTGGTCCCAAGGAGACAGAAGAATGCAGAGGAAAGAACAAGGCACGTCCTTTATACACAGCAATCTCATGCTCAGTCAGTATCGTGCCTCTCAACCATTCTCCAGACAAGATTTTATGCCCAGAGCAGTCTTTCCCCTAAACAGCAATATTCCTGTATGTTCTTCTTTTCATTTCCTTGATTCTCCCTCCAAAGGTCTCCAAGCAATTTACAAACTGTAGGTTGTGTTTGCAATTCGGACCCTTAAAGTTTATCTATCTTTCTCTCCCCTCTCACTTTTCCTTTGTCTTTTATGATTGTGATTGAAAAAGAGGAAGAGTTGGGAGACCAAAGCTCATGAATGTATATGAAGCCATTACATCTGCCGGGTGCGATGCGCGCACAGGCACTCTTTTTTTAAATGGTTGTCTCCACATTGCCAGAACTGCTTGAGAGCTTTTTCCTCCAATTGCACAAATTCATTATTTACTCTTTTACTGCATCTATTTACAAGTCCACATGGACCCTCGGGGAGGCCCACTTCGGGCCTCAGAGCTCCGGTAATGAAGCCTGGCTCACTCTACTTTGATATATCTCGCTGCTACTGCTGCTTGGGGGATAAAGAGTGTGCCCACCTGTTTTTTGGAAGGTCAGCCTGACTGAGGACAAAGGATTTTAAATTGTGCTCTGTGGAATCCTGGAATCCTGAGTAGGCTGCCTGGAGTTCTAGGAAATAATAATAAAACCAGCCACGGACATTCTTTTATTTTCCAAGGCACTCTGATTTGGTTTGGTTGTTAAAACTTTTTCTGGGGTTAAAATATACATCTAGTGCAAGCAGACTATACCCCCTGGACTTTGTGTTAAGAGTTAACCACAGGTGTGGACCGAGTGTGCCAGATGAGAGCGGTTACTGGGGACGTTCTGTGGTTGTGGCTTGTCCCAAATGGGGTTTGTCATTTGACTAGGATGTCATCCCCAAGGGTAC